ACGGGACATAAACCACACACCTGCGGTGTCATTGTCTCTCCTATTACCCCGAGATGGGACCGTCTGGTTGCAGAAAATCAAGCTCGGTGCTGTGGTGAGTCGTCATTTTCATGCACTTTGAATTTGCGTTGTATCGTATTTTGAAGGCATTAAACATTGCCATAGCGATTGGAGTGTTGCGGCCAGATTAGACGCTCCTTGTGTTTATTATTATATTTCGAAAACACCACAGTTTTCATGCAGCTCATACCATATTATTTTGTTGTATTATTTCCGCCACACCTTAAATGCCGGTCCCTGAAAATATTGTCTGACATAAACCGGTCCGTGGGGCAAAAAAGGTTGGGGGCCCCTGCTCTAAAGCATTCAATGAAAGTCTCAAATCAAATTGTCATACCCAGTGTTTGGCGAGAAGGTGGTGTCGAAAGTCAACTTCAGTCCCTTGGCGATCTATGGGAAAACAAATCATTGGCTGTATGGGCATTGTGTATTCAGTGTGGTTCACTGTCATTATAAAGTGTGCTTCATATTTGATATTATTAGTTGTCCTTACCTGATCTTCAATGATAATTTCGGTTCCTAGGGTGTTGTCGGTGTTCCACTTCTCAGTAAAGGTCAAGCCATACTCTGCCCTCTTGTACTTGGTTTCAAGGCTGCCAACGACTTTGCTGGTGTCAGTGTTGGAGGATCCAGATGTTTTGAATTCCTAAACAAAACCAAAAATGACAGAGGATAGCAACAAGCTCTTACAAACTGCAAATCGCATCTTCCCAGTACCATACACTTTCTTCGCATACTGTGGTTCTTCAAACTTTTTTTCACCACGAAGCCCCTCAAAATATAGTTGGCTCCATCATAATGACCTACTGGTACATTAAAATACAGTAGCGTAATAGGCCGAAGTTTACACATTTAATTCTGTTATTCCATCCCCCAAACAACGACAACAGTGGCCACGAACTTACTGCATCTGTATGACATTAACAAAATGAGAGAGAAATGCGAAACTGATTTTTTTTTTTTAAATGTCACCTATTAAACTATTTGACACCAAGCAGTTTTGAAGGCATGTATCCAGTGCAAAAGTACTTAAATACTATAATTACCACTCCACTGGCTGACTTTGTCTTGACGTCGAGCTTCACCAGGCCGAATCCTGAACAAAGAGTTGTTTTGATCAAATTCAGTCAGAGCAGACTGCATAGGAAAATACTTTTTTCCAACCATCACAAATGAATTCCTACCATAGCCCTTGTTGAAGATGTCCTTGGCAGACTTGCCCAAATCAACATATGAGGGAGGCACGGCCATTGTTTTCTACAGAAAAGGAGAAAAAAAATATATATATATTTTAATGATGTACATTAAACTTATTTACAGTGTGCAAACCATTCAAGGGTATGAATGAGTCTTGGTGTACATTTATGGGGGGAGGGGAACATTTGGCATTTTTGGAAAAACAGAACATTTAATGGCAATCCTCATGCAACAATTACCTTGGATTTAAACCTTCTTTGAATCTTTCTATGCATGCACCAATTTACCCCCCCCCAAAAAAAAACCAAAACTTTTTTGTACGCAAATATGGAGAGGTATGAAAACATGTACGTGTGAACAACTGCCAGAAAATATACAATTCAAGTGTTCAGTGTAGGTAAAATAAAAATAAAATAGTACAGTGGTAGCTCAACTCACGAGCGACCGAATGAATACGTTTTGAGATTCAAGCTATCATTTACTGCAGATGATTTTGTTTTTGTATCGGAACACCAAATTTGTGTTTCCAACGGCTGGCTGACTGACTGGAGAAAGGTCATCTGTGTGGAATTCGCATATTCTCCCTGAGTGCATGGGTTGTCTCCTTTCCTCCTACATTGCAAAACATGCATGCTGCATGCTAGTTCAAATAAAGACTTAAGATAAATTGTCCGTAGTTGTGAATGGTTTACTTTATATTTTGGGTTTCCAGCTCAATGGAGACTTTAACGAGAACGCGTGCTGTAGAAAACGGATGGATAGAAAATGACATGGACCAATATGTAATAATATAATGATATGAAAAACACAGAACATTTCCCAGTGACATTGCCGACCTTCCGACCTGCAAACTAGTCGCATTTCCAAGAGCCCGCCATTTTTAGAACACCTAGATAAAATAGACGTCTTTACACATGTAAAGCTCAGTGTCTGTTTGCCAACTGAATGCACACGTTTTAGGATTTTGCAAATATTTCACTGACCGCGCTTTCGGATTTCATTCGTCGTGGCAGTGACGTACCCATTCACTCCGAGTGGCCTGACAACCCGTGAGCAAGGTTACCTGTAACGTAGGTCGGATTGACATTTTGGCGCCCGCTTCTTATCGTAAATTGGTTTAAAAGTTAGGCGGGGTGGAGGGCACATGTTGGCGCTAATTAGTAGCATGTCAAAGTGATGTGCGTTGTCGAGGGCTGTCACACGGTAAAGGCCAAAGTACAACAAATGCATTCCTAACCTAATCCGAATACATTAGTCAAGTGTAAAACACACGGACTGTCATTGCGACACCGTAATATGCATAGGATGCATTTATTTCCGAAAGGAGTTAGATGGGTTTAATCTTACATGAGTCAGACACGACGTGCCCCAGCTAGCATAGCTAACGCTGCTAAAGCTAGTAGAGTTTACCGGTGAGTAACAAAATCAAGTTAGACAGCTCCTTTCTTCGCGTTATAAAACGACGAGGACGTTTCCAGTCACCCTCGTTCAGACACGTCTCTTACCGTTGGGAGGGGTGTCGAGAGGTGAGATAAAGTGACTTTTGGACAGAGGTTCCTCGAACCGCACGGGCGAGGCAGGCTTGACCAGTTGGAGGACGAGCTGAAGGAGACTGCATTCACTTGAAACCTGACCTATCACATCCTGCCTGAGGACCCGGGCTGGCTGTCATTTGCCTGAATAAAAAAAGATATCGAGGACTGAACCAGAGCTCCTGGCCATAGAAGATACACCTCATTCTCATTGTTTTCCCATTTTTATGCACTTTCCTTCCCACATTCATGAAAAAGAAGTTGAACATATTTGGGAAAAGTTTGTGATTCTACCTCAAATCATGCACACATTCTCTGTAATCCTCACTATTAAGGTTACAGTATTTCAATGTTGCACCACGACAAAATATAAATGGATTAAGTTTATTATGTGACCAAAGATTTTGAGACAGCACACCTGCTGAGGCATTAATGAAGCTGGGTTCATCCATAGCTGCATCCTTTGCTTGTTTAGCTTCCTCTTCTTTCCTTTACTTTTGAAATTTCCCAGCGAACGTTTTTGACCGAACGAATTGTCTTCCCCATGTGCGTAATAAATATCTACATTTCCTCATCATACCACACCAAACGTAACGAGAATGCCAAATATAATCCACTCAAAAATAGCATTTGTGTATGTGTGTCTGTGAGTAGCCCCACTAGAAATACTGTATGTGAAATTCATATAATTAAGACTCAGTATCTCTGGTGAGTATCATATTGTTTTATATACGGTTTTATTGGTGGGTTCTATGATTGCAATGTGATGTGGCGTTATCAAGAAGTGCCACTGGTATTGAGGCCTGCCACAGCAGTACTACAATGTACTTTACTGAACTGTACTAGTGCAGTAGGTCTCAGTATGACTTTTATATTCAGGTACAGTACGTTTAGGTCTATCAATTATTTGTATTAATATTAAGACAGCCAGTATACTTGTGTTGTAATGTTATTCACCAAAACAATATGGTATTTAAAAAACAAAAAAAACACCTCCTAACAAAAATACAAAACATACGTAGAAAATATGAACTGTTTAACCACTTGTGTTGTAATGTTATTCACCAAAACGATATGGTATTTAAAAAACAAAAAAAAAAAAAACACCTCCTAACAAAAATACAAAACATACGTAGAAAATATGAACTGTTTAACCCTTAATCGCCAAAGTATTCAAATTGTAAGATGCAACATTGACAGTATGCCTTTTCATCCAAGCATGTTCAAGCTATATACAACCTTTGGAAATATCAAAACCGTCTTGACTATTATAATGCATGCATTTTTTTTATATATTTCGTCTAATTTTTTTCTTGTAAGGTGGTCCGCACATATCCGGAGATCCAAGCATGTTCAAGCTATATACCTTTGAAAATATCAAAACCGTCTTGACTATCATAATGCATGCATTTTTTTATATATTTTTTTCTTGTAAGGTGGTCCGCACATATCCGGATATCTGCGTTTTATGTTATTGGGACATAGATTTCGCGCTGATTGGTCGGTATAACTGCGTCATCCAAAGATATAAATATTTGTCTGTCCACTTTTGATGACGTACTTATGTAAGAAACGAAATTGCGGGAACTGAAAGCTACTAGCTATGTCGTTCATGGATAAACTATGATAGAACGTGAAAGCCACTCTTCTATAACGAGGTAGTTTTGATAACTCGTGACAAAAAAGTCTGTTGTTCTTCAGTCATGGAGTACGGAAAGGAAAGAGTGGTGGCGTTAGTGGACATGGACTGTTTCTACGTGCAAGTGGAGCAGAGACTGAATCCTACCCTAAAGAAAACGCCCTGCGTCGTGGCCCAGTACAAAACCTGGAAAGGAGGCGGGTAAGGTTCTGGCACGGAGATGTCATTTTTGAATGATCCATGCAGCTGACAAGCGTTGTCATCTGGAACAGTACACTCACTGTCCCATGGTGCCCATGGTTGTATCAAATCCTCGAGTAATATAGACTGCTTAGAGTTAGAATCACGACGCCAAACAGCTGTTCAACCGAATTATTCACTTTTTAAAAACAGAAATTAAATGAAACTCATGTGCATAAGCCTAAAAAGTTATGGCTTTTTCGACGAATTTTGGTACATCGTCTGCATTAGCTCTCATTAGATTATGCAGGTATGTCTTATTTAATATCACTGTTCTTATACTATTTTGGAATTAAAATTAAGTAAAAAAAAAAAAAAAAAAAAAAAAAAAAACAACCACGGCAATAAGAATGATGCCCCAAAAGTTAGCATGTCAGTAGCACAGTTCTGTAGTCCAAATAGATGGATTAATTATTTACAGAAATAATAATCATTGTAAATAAATACTATATTATTAATATTGTTATTAACTGTCTCTTTTACTCACCCTCTGTCAGGATCATTGCAGTGAGCTACGAGGCCCGGGTCCATGGCGTGACGAAGAACATGTGGGTGGATGACGCGAAGAAACTGTGCCCAGATCTCCAGGTGGCACGAGTGCGCGAGTCTCACGGCAAGGCGGACCTGACCCCGTGAGTGATGTCCATGTCATCATTTTAATGATGTCACTAAAGCATAATTGAAATTAAACGTTGTGTGCAGTTACAGGGAGGCCAGCGTGGAAGTGATCCAAGTCATGTCTCGCTTTGCGGTAGTCGAGCGGGCCAGCATTGACGAGGCCTACATGGATTTGACTGTGGCTGTCCAGCAGCGGCTGAAGGACATGACGGACAAACAAATAAAGCCTCACTTGCTCAAGACTACGTGCATCCAAGGTTACCCTCACAATTCATCTGAAGGACACGAAGAAGCTGCCGAGAATGCCATTTTTGATAAAGGTAAGCAGAGCTGTAATTTGTCCTCGATAAAGCTAGAAATATATTTCAATTCTACAGACCCACAATCATCTTTTAGGAAAGTACTCTGTCCGCAAAAAGTGTCTTGGGAGTGTTTATTTACTCATTGTAGGGAGTCAAACAAGGCGCGGTGTTGACGTCATTGCGTCAACTAGGTTTTATTATGAGAACGGACAGAGAAAAGTCTTGGCCAACTCAGGTTTGACCTGTAAGGTGGGAAAGTAATAAAATAAAATAACTACGGCCAGCAGATAGCAGCATTGGACCTCTTTTGGATGAGCTCGCTGTGTGGCACAACAAAGTCGAGACACCGAATTATTCACTTTTTAAATCCAGAAATTAAATGAAACTCATGTGCATAAGCCTAAAAAGTTATGGCTTTCTCGACGAATTTTGGTACATCATCTGCATTGACTCGCATTAGATTATGCAGGTATATCTTATTTAATATCACTGTTCTTATACTATTTTGGAATTAAAATTAAGAAACATTTTTTTAAAACAACAACCGCGGTAATAAGAATGATGCCCCAGCAGTTAGCATGTCAGTAGCACAGTTCTGTAGTCCAAATAGATGGATTAATTATTTACAGAAATAATAATCATTGTAAATAAATACTATATTATTAATATTGTTATTAACTGTCTCTTTTACTCACCCTCTGTCAGGATCATTGCAGTGAGCTACGAGGCCCGGGTCCATGGCGTGACGAAGAACATGTGGGTGGATGACG